GTTTTTCCAGGGATTATATTAATATAATTAAGAACTGGTGGGAGGGGCCTGGAGTCTTTTAATTCTCAGAGGAGGAGTTTGAAAACTAGATTGAATCTGATTAAAGGTATTGGCATGCCTAAAGAAAAAAAGCAGATAGGGGATAGAGCAGATACATGTTGTCTCTTTAAACAACCTTAAAAACACTTTTGCTAAATTATGTACATCTAAGCTGGGCTCGGTGGCTCAGCCTGTAATCCCGCGCCTTTGGGAGGCTGAGGTGAGTGGATTGCCTGAGTCCGCGGGTTCAAGATCCGCCTGGGCGGCGAGACCTCATCTCTACAATAAATCAAAAAATCAGCCGGGCATGGTAGCGCGTGCCTGTAATTCTGGCTGCTTGGAAGGCTGAGGCGGAAGGAACGCCGGAGCCCAGCAGGTCGAGGCTGCGGTGGCTGGGAGCGGCCACTGCGCTCCAATCTGGGTGACAGAGTGAGACTCCAACTCAAAAAAAAAAAAAAAAATTATGTACATCTAACTTTTATTGAATGCCCATTATGCATGGGAGGTCCTGGGGTAAAGGCTTTGGAATATATTTCTTTAATCCTTGAAGTGATCTTTTCAGTGTAGCAGGTTGTATTGTTTTGAGGAAATTAAGGTTTAGCTAACATCAGAATCTAGAGTCCTGTTCATTCCACACCACAGTACGTTTGGCTGCAGTAATTTTTGTGCAGTCTACTTTGGAAAGGTAAATTGCATAATTCCGAGCCTTGACAGCATTCCTGTCCTGAAGCACTGCCTTTTCCCAGGGCATAAGAGTCCCAGAAGCCCCCTCACCTAGTCCCTGGCTTCAGTTTTTAAAAAAAAATCCTGGTTACCCCTTCCTTAGTCAGTCACTGTGATAATATCTTGTGAAAGCAGCTTCTTCGGTTGGAAGGTCCAGAGAAGCTTATCTGGTAAATCCTGTTTCCTGTACAAGAGTAGGAGGGGGATCAGAGTCACTTTATTCTTGATGAGCTTTGTCATCAGTTTTGATGGAATAAGGCTCCTGGTGTAATTAAACTGCAGGTCCGTTTATTCTGTTTTCAGCGTTGTGAGAAGACTTTACTCTGAACTGCTTTCTTTCCTGATTGACTTGCCCTTTGGGGCAGAATGCCTGGGCTGAAATGAAACATGTAGGTTTCCCTGCTATAGTGTTCAATCTGTCATCTCTCCTAAACTCCACACTAGAAGCAGCTATTTAATTGGTCAGACCCTGGGGGTGATATTTTGGCACCGTTCCATTGGTTAGAATTACTTTTCCCTGAACCTCATAGCCAGATGCTGAGTTCCCTCTGCCGATATTTGTCATAGACTAGTTGAAACTAGGGAGTTTCCAGGAACATTTATAACTTGTGATTATTATGGATGTTTTTCAGTTGTTTACAACAGTTACCACTTAAGGAAGGGAGCTCACTTATTGCTAGTGGGAAGTGAAATATCACTCCTTTTCCCCTTATTTATATTGTCATTTTAACACTTTCTGCTCTGAGACCCTCTGTTGTTCTGTTTCTTACATCACTTTTTGTGCTTCTCCTTCTACCCTATGGGGACTGTTTGAGTTAGGAACAGCAGGCAAAGCTCCACCTAGACCTAGGAGAGGTCGGTTTCTTTGATAGCTCACATTCTTTTCTCTCTTATTTTACTTCTGTATTTGTTGCTTTCGTGTTTATTTGTATTTGCAGTTCCCATTGTAGCACCATTCCAAACCATAACCATAGTGAGGGCAGTGAAGCCTTCTGTGCCCACTGATGCAGGGAGGAGATGGGGGTGATGGTATTGTTCCTCTTCCAGGCTCTCCATTTCTGGTTTTCTACTGCTGTAATAACTGACAACTTAAACATTTTTCGGTTACTTTTTGAAAGGTCGGTCTATTACCATTCTTTTCTTGTTTTTCAAGTAATCTTAGCAGACAATTATCTTCAGCATGTCCGAGGTAGGTATGTTACTCTTAGGCCTTCCTTAAAAGTATTCCTGTGGTCGACTCAGCCTGTAATCCTGCGCCTTTGGGAGGCTGAGGTGAGTGGTTTGCCTGAGCCGGCGAGTTCGAGACCTGCCCGGGCAACTTGGCGAGACCTCATCTCTACGATAAATCAAAAAATTATTAGCTGGGCCTGGGCATGGTAGCGCACGCCTGTAGTTCCAGCTACTTGGAAGGCTGAGGCGGAAGGATTGCCGGAACCCAGCAGGTCGAGGCTGTGGTGGCCGGGAGCAGCCACGGCACTCCAGTCTGGGTGACAGAGTGAGACTCTTAACTCAAAAAAAAAAAAGTATTCCTGTGGTTATATGTATTTAAAATCCTTAATTTGCTGATCATCCTGGAATCATACTTGTGCGATTTCAAGCATGCATTTCTGTCTTTTTTTAAAAGCTCTGTTGCTGTTATCATTATTAATAATTCAACAAATATGTGGTGATCACATTTATCTGGCATTAAGGCTGAGAATAAAGCTGTGAAATAGACTTGCTCTTATTTTCTGTTTTACTTTCCACACTCTAACTATGAGAGAAAACGACTTTGAAAAGAATTATACAAATTGTTAGCCATTTGATTAGATACAGTGCTAGCAGAATGCTCACTCACCCAGAATGTAATCACCATGAGATTCAGGGACCTTGCCTGTTCTTGGAATCCCCAGAGGTATTGGCAGAGAGCAGTGCTACACAGATTGTCTGATAAATGAACTCTAGATATAGGGAGTGTGAGACGCTATGAGAGCACAGTGGCAGGGAGAGTTTCTCTGAGGAAATACATGATACGTAAGTGAGGTAAGTTGGGAACTAGTGGTCCAGGCTCAGAATCTCTTGAGGGTCATTCCTAAAGCCAAAATAAGTTTGGCATTTGAGGTACTAAACGAATAACAGAGTAGCTCAAGGGAGAGTAAGGCCCTGGGTGCTGAGGATTTCCTTTCATTATTAAATAGTTACCCAGTGAAAACACTTATTCAAAGGAGGATAATAGAGCATTGGTTGCAGTTGAGACAACTAAGTCGAAAACACCTCCTCAACTGGAACAAAGGTGAGCAAGAAGAGAAACTGAAACATCAACTAAAGGCTTTAGCTTTGGAAAGCTGAGGGTCTATATCACTAGTGATTCAAACGTGTAGAAAGTGGGAAATGCAGATGACTCACACGGGGTGTATAAATTAAAATTTGAGATTCCCAGGAATGGTTTTTCTGTCTATTGTACTTTTTACAAGGTGTTCAGGTGTTGAAAGTTTGTTTTGGTGAGTAGGTACCCCTTTTTGGTGTCTTTAGAAGAGGTTAGGCAAAGCCTTTAGAAGAGGGTGGGCAAAGCCATTAACCTTGCTCTCCCAACCCAAAAGCTCTTGAATGACTAGTGCTAAGGTAGACAGTGTGGATGGTGTTTTTGTAGGACCTCAAATTAGAGACCTTGGATTCACATCCATTACCCACTAGCTCTGTGACCCTGGTCTACCACCTAGCCCTCAAGGCCCAACGTCTTCATTCACAAAATGAGCATTTTAATTCTGACTTTTGCAGGATTGCTGTATTAAATAAGACAGTTATGCAAATGTAGCAACTAACTTGGCCCACATTAGGTGTTTTGTGATGCTTCTGCTTTGTCCTCACCATGAAAAGGGATCTGGGGACCACAAGCCTGAATAACTCCCCCAGTCTTCCCCTTGTCTATCACCTGAAGTAATAGCACAGAAGGTTATCTTGCTCCTAAAGCTTCGATCCTTTATATTAAAGGATAAGTTGGGAACTGGAGGAGAGAGGAGACTGTAGCCCTGGAGTCTGAGGTGTGAGAGTGAGAGTGAGAGGAGGCTCTGGAAGCTTGTTTAGAGAGAGGCAAACATTTAAACCTCATTAGCTGGTGCCTTTTTTTTATAATGCCTGCCATTGGCTTCATGTCTAGCACTGCCCTCTGCTCTTTATGTAAGACAAAGCCCAGTAAAAATATGATCCCTTTTTATGCTGAGCACTTCCTCTATCCTCAGCCTGTGAGGTGTAGGCAAATTGATTCCTGTTATTTTGAAACTCATTCAGTGTTAGAGCCAAGATTTAAGGTCAGGTCTATCTGTTTGATTTCCAAGCCAAAGTAAAACATATTTGGGAATAGCTTTTTTTTCCTTCCCCTTTCAACTGTTTTGTCGTCTTAAAATTTAGCTCTAAAATAAAGTTCTTACCAGGAAATATGCATTATCCACTACCCATATCCAGAGGACTGCCTGGAGGATGGAAAAAGTCTCTTAGGATGTAAAGCCTTTGCAAATGTTTTTTTCCACTGAATTCCAGCCTGTGAAATATCCTTGTTTATGTCCAGTACATGTACTACCTCAGCAGGACTGTTTATTCTCATTTAGGCCTTGAGTTCCAAAGTTCCACCATATACTTGTCTCCTCTGTGACTTAGGTACTTAGGTATTCTGAATTCTTTATTCTTTTTTTGAATTCTTTATTCTAAAATCAATATCTCAGAAATAATCGCAGTGTCACAGAGAACATGCTTTGTTGTCCCACATCCAATAGATGAGATCAGTCGGTAATCTGGTGTACTCAGCAGGTTGCTTACCTACAAATGCAATAGTCTCCCTGTCTTATGGTCACTGTGTTGTCACTAGCATTTAAAATCTTCCCAAGTCAGCATGGATATCTCAGGCAGGTGTACTGGAAAATTCCAGTTGCAACTTGATTTTGTTTTAAATTAAACAGCTTCAGCCGTGCTCGGTGGCTCAGCCTGTAATCCCGTGCTTTGGGAGGCTGAGGTGAGTGGATTGCCTGAGCCCGCGGGTTCGAGACCCACCTGGGTAACTTGGTGAGACCTCATCTCTACAATAAATCAAAAATTAGCCAGGTGTGGTAGCGCACACCTGTAGTTCCAGCTACTTGGAAGGCTGAGGCGGAAGGATCGCGGGAGCCCAGCAGGTCGAGGCTGCAGTGGCCGGGAGAAGCCACTGCACTCCAGTCTGGGTGACAGAGTTAGACTCCAGCTCAAAAAAAAAAAATTAAACAGCTTCAAAGGAGTTCAAGTTTCTTGCCAGACTAACTTATTTTTAAAAATTAAGCAGGCTTCCTGTTTAAGAGATGACTTTAAATTTCAGGTGAGCTCTCAAGATACAGGTGACTCCTTATTGTGTTGATGATGTCATCAGCTGTGTCAGGTCCTGCCTGCCTAGTGCCTCAGGCGGCAGGAAACCCAAGCTTTGGCTGACCACAGAGGAGAGAGACCTTGGGCTTTCCAGCTGCTAGTCCCTATTAAACATGTAGGCTGTCACCATTTTAGAATTGTAACTTATAGTTTCATAACTTTTTTTTTTTTTTTTTGAGTTGGATTCTCACTCTGTCGTCCAGACTGGAGTGCAGTGGCTTCTCCCGGCCACTGCAGCCTCGACCTGCTGGGCTCCCGCGATCCTTCCGGCCTCAGCCTTCCAAGTAGCTGGAACTACAGGTGTGCGCTACCACACCTGGCTAATTTTTGATTTATTGTAGAGATGAGGTCTCACCAAGTTACCCCAGG